TAAAACCAACACCTCCGTATAGCAGGAATAGTGGTTATATATCTCCTGACTTTGCCTTTCTTTTATATTTAACCTCATAATTTTTAGCGAGATGTTTTTTCAAGCTCAAGCATCAGGCTTCTCTTTGCTTGTGCTCTGGCTACCTTTGATGAATTCAACATGCCAACTTGACATGAGACAGCCAGGCAGATAAATGAGTTGGCACCTCAACAAATTCAAGATTCAGGGCTGAAAGAAGCAAGAAGGAAACTGTAGCTGGCACTAAAAAAAAAAAAAAAAAAAAGTTTAAAAATTGTGTTTTTCCACCGCCTGCCTCGTAAGCACAAAGTCCAGAGTTCGATCCCCGGCACTGGAAAAAAAATTAATTTTTTTTTTTTTCAGACAAGTGACTTCCTGAGGCCACGGTCATAAACAGCTTCCCCCTACCTCTCCTCAGCCCAGATAAATAAACACAATATTCAGATGCTGATACCGGGAAGCCTGGAGTCCAGTTTCCTTTCCACAACAAAGAGAACAATGAGCTAAAGATGGCTAAAAGTGGCAAAGCAAATGTGGAGATTTGTATCATCTCTCCATGCTTTCCATCCCCTCTGTTCTTTACTGTGTAGGACCCGTGTCCACTTGCATATGGAGAGGTGGCAATTTGAGGCAAATAGGTCCCTCCATCTTCTAAGAGCTAGATTTGAATAAACCTTTCTTACCCAAATGTATGGCCTCCTCTGATTTGGTCAGTGGCAAGCAAAGGAATCTGAGTATATGGATCTAGTTTAACTGTTGCATAATAATTTTATGTTAATGGGAAATTTTTTGTGCATTACTCTTGTCTGTTTCCTCATCTCTTTAATAATGTGCTCAGCATTCACTATGGTGATAAGAGTAAAATGAGATGTAAGCCAGAGTTTAGTAACTAATGGGGTTTTTCTAACATTGACCACATAAAGTGCATGCATTTGGTGCCACTGCAATCAGACATGGATGATTAAGCTTTTCATGGTATGCATGTTCTAAGTAACATATATTTGAATTGGGCTGTTGTATAAAATGTTTATTTTGATAGTATCTATTACTTAACTAATCTTTGAAAGATATCAGTTAACATTTGCTTTCAATTTGTATTATTGATGTTTACTCTGGACATCTTATTTTCTATTCTCTAAGAAATGAACAAAGATAACAAGACAAGGCTAACAGCAAAAGTCACAATGAAAAATGAGAAATTTTTGTCCCATAAACATTCAAAGGTGCACTCTAGGCAAATAAATGACAAAAATATCACATAAATGTGAAATATAGAAGAAAGTATTCAAAATGACTTTCTGAGGCCAGAGATTTAGCTCACTGGTTCCTCTGCCTGCCTTGCAAGTGCAAGGTCCTGAGTTCAATACCTGGTATAAAAAAAAAAGAAAAAGAAAAAAAGAAAAAGAAAAAGAAAAAGAAAAAGAAAGAGAGAGAAAGAAAGAAAGAAAGAAAGAAAGAAAGATGTCTTTCTGATCTAAGAGTAGAGAAGAAACTTCAGTTATAAATTTGTAAAGCCTCAAATGTTGAAAAGAAAAAAAGAGTAAGAGTTAGGATTTCTGTTCAGCCAAGAAAATCCTTAATGAAATTAATGTGTAGATGAAAAATAATAGAAAGTATTTTCATTCTCTGTAAGTAACAAATACATGGATAAGAAGATTTACTTAAAAAGTATCTTCATCACAAATATGAACACATAATTTAAGCAGATAATTTATAGAAGGGTGTAAACAGAAAGAGACGAAGACATTTAAAAAAGGAGACGTGAGCATCTATGGCATTTTTCTCACATGTGTTTTCAGGGTGCTAAGAATGTTTCCTGGGGCACTTATATCATCGACAGACAGAACCTGAAAAGTCTACTTTCTCACAACTGCAGAAAAGGCAAATAAGGTGTTATTTTATATCCACGTGTTCTGAAGTATGAAATCACAAGTGGCTGAAATTCTATGACTTGGCAAATTCAGTAGACAACAAGCTCCTGAAGGGAGGGCAAGAACGATCCCAAGAGCTGTCATCTCTCTACCTCTACACCCCAAAACCAAGCTGAGTGATTCTGCCCAAATAACTCACAGTCCATACTTCAACACTCTTTTGGTCCTTCTCTTTAGGCTGTCTTTCTGAAGCCACTACAGCAGAGTGTGGCAAATTCAGGAGAACTCAGAAGGAATTTCAGAGACTGCTGGTCCAGCCACATAAGGAACACAGAGCAAAGGTTCACGGTAATTTCTTTCCCTAGAGAGATGTAAGTAACTGCAAAGGAAAACAGCCCCAAGTCTTGCATGTGACAGTGCTACACAGACCTGACTTCAGCCCATTAAGGGCAAGGAAGAGTCAGTGAGAAAACAGGAAAGGGCAGAGAGGAAAGTCAAATATTTTCTCCAAGATTAAGGTAGTTAAGATTGGTTCCCAGACTCAGTATAAATTGGTATTAGGAAAGGAAGTGTTTTCTCTTCAACACTGTACAAGCTTAGTGTCTTGCAGTTCAACTGCTCAGAGCTGTGTCTATTTATTGAAAATTTCTGTCCTATTCTCTTGTCTAGATAAAGCAAGCTGGATGGTATCAATGGAGAGGTGTACCTCTCTACAACACAAAATAAACAGATAGCTAACTAGCTAGACAGACAGATAACCAGCCAACCAAATAAAACCAAACCAAACCAAACCAAAGCAAAAAGAGAAAACAAAATCTAGAGCAATGCTCCTTTATCCAAGTACCACTCATAATGTGTCCCAGGTTACTTCTTAAGGAGAATTTAATTAATACAGTGCTTAACACAGAAAGCTACCTGATAAGTTTCATATTATCTAGATGAACACTTTGGCTGTTTTCTCTTGACGTCCTGTCACTGACAGAGCAGTGACTTACTGCTGATGCCCAGCATCTTGAGCAAGTACTGTACCACACACCATAAGTGTACAAATAGAATAAAACTGAAGTAAATTTTCCACTGAATACTAATCAGTTTCTTTTATTCTTAGGTACTGGAGATTGAATTCAGGGCCTTCTACATGTTACACAAGTTATTTTAGATTCCAGACACATTCCTAGTATTTTTACTTTATGTAGATCTGGTTATTGCTCCACTGTTCAGGTTGGCTTCAGTATTACAATCCTCATGTCTCCATGTCCCAAACCACTACATGAGTTGGGCATAAACATGAATCAGCTGAAGCCTCATTTAATCAAGCATTGTAATCCTACTTAATAGTGGTAGTTACAGAAGCCTCATCTTAGCTAGGCATGACAGCACATGCCTGTCATCTTAAAACTCCAGGAGGCTAAAACAAGATCAGAAGTTCACTGCAGCCTGGACAATTTACTGAGACTTGATCTCAAATTTTAAAAGAACAGCCCAGGGATTTAGCTCAGTGGCGCCACACCTGCCTCATAAACTCAAAGTCAAGCGTTCCATCCCCAGTACCAAAAAAAAAAAGTGTGTGGTGGGAGTGAGAATTTAGCTTAGTGGTTCTCCCACCTGCCTTGCAAGCCCAAGACCCCAAGTTTGATTCCCCATACAAAAACAAACAAACAAACAAACAAAAAAACAAAGTATGGGGAATGTAACTCAGAGCAAAAGTCCTGAATTCAGTCCTGTGTGCAATAAAAACATCAACCACACCTTACAGCCTTTTGCATCCTGGAGAAATCCCTTCGCATCACACTTACATCCAACAATTTTTAAGCCTACAAAAAGGCCACATTCCTAATGTTCAATAGCTCCTCAAAAATGACTAGGTTAACTGATCAGTAGTAACAGAAGATAGATAGATATATATGTATTTAACTTTTACTAAGATTTCCCCTTCCTAAGCCCTCTGGTATTTATTTGATCCACTCTCAGATTGAGCCAGGGCACAATTCCTTTATGTCACAAAAAGACCAATCTGACTTCAGGGTAATGCCTTCACTGTTGTACAGGTGGATTTTGTCACCCTCAACATCCCCTCCTCTCCCACTTTCTTTCCCCTTCCAATTGCTCCTCCCTACAGGAAAAAAAAGCTTTATTCCTAGGAATTCTTATGCCTGCAGACCTCACATTTAGTGCTTTACCCCCAGTGCAGTACTCCTTTAATATAAGGTCCATCTCAATCAGCATTTTAATTTTTAAAACAATGTCTACAAACAGTCCAAGGGCTACAGCAACGACATGAGATGACACCTCTCTCCCTTTGCACTCCTACCAAATCCCATGTCCGCAAAGATGCTCAAGTTCAGTGAGTTTCAGTGTGTTTAACAGGTAGCCCCTTCTGGAAGAAGTCCTTAGAAGGAACACTTTCTCTTAACTCTGCTAATACATTAACATCTCTATTTTCCTCAGCATTCTAAACTTTATGGGAAGTCTTCACTTAAATGTTCTATTTGTTAAAAGAGGTGCCACCTATACAATTAAGATGGTATATTTTTCTGCACTTGTGTATTTAACACAGGAGTTCACTGCATGTATAGAGAGCGCTCCACCGCTGAGTCACATCACAGTATTAAACCTGTCTCTGGATTCTCATGGCATTTATCATCACCCATCATTGAGTGTAACAATGTGGGGACTTTTTAAGAACTTCTACCGCGGACATTTACAAAATTGAGATCCACCAGGTCTGCCGGCAGGAGGGATGAGACCAGGTAACCGGCACACCGCAGCTCTCCCGGCTGGAGCCCTTGAACCTGGGTCTCCCCACAACTCCCTCTCTCCGCACACAGATGGGGTCCAGCTGTGAGTGGGGCTCCCTGAGACTGCGCTCTAGCTGGCAGGGTGGTAGAGGGAGACGCGGTGCTCGGTACCCAAAACGGCCCAGCCTCAGCTATGGCAGGAGGGACAGAGAGTACACAGGACAAGCAACCAGGAAGAACTCAGGCTCCGGGGCAGGCAGGCAGGCAGGGAGCCTCCGGTCCGCCATTGTAGGTTCCTACCACTTCCGGGTTGACCTCGCCCACATCGCATCCCATTCCGTCCCACTGCAGGGCACCCATCCCATATTATCACCATTGTGTGGTTCGAGGGTCTTCCAGGGTCCTTTCAAGGCAGGCTGCAGCCGGTAGAAATCCTATAGCAAGGTGGTCTAGCCCAGTGAGGTGGCGCTCAGCAGTGTGCTCAGGCTCTGGCTTTCCGGGCAGGAAACAGAGCCGCCTCCCTAGGCCCGCCTAATTGGACAGTTCCTACGCGTCTTCAACACTGATTTGCTGCTGCTCGGTTGCCGGCCTTCTGAGCTATGACGACAGAAACAGTGAAAACAGAAACAAACCCTTACTCGTGTGAGTGGAACTGAAGTGGTAGATTGTAACCCAGAGGCTGCTAAACCAGTTTCTTTCTCAGGGTGCAGCTTGTCCTAGGCAGTATTTAAACAGAGTTTACTCCTGGCTTTGCAGAGTGGCCACTACTCTTTTTTTTTTTTTTTTTTTTCCTTAACCAAGCGTCATGTATAATTTAGTCTGTTCTTGAACTCACCATACAGCCCAGGGTGGCCTTAGCTCGCTGTTACTCTCCTGCATTAGTTTAAGTAGTGCTGGTTTACGCGCATGCACCACCACTCCCAACTACTCCTACCTTCCTCCTGGACTCAGTGGGCTTTTATCTGTTACTCCTTAAAATGGGGTTTCACATGTGCTATGACAGTTCCAGAATTAATACACCATGGAAACATCACTGTGAGAGAATGCCATGAGTCCAGGAAAGGTCAGGACATAATGGAATGGAGGAGGGTCTGATATTGTGAGATGTTAAAAATATGCAATAAGGTAAGTGGCTGCATGGACAAAACTTTCTCACATTGTATCTCTCAATTTATGCTAAGAAAATAAATATATGCCAAAAAAAGATTACAGTAATCAAATAAATCCACTTCCTGCTGTTGAGGAAGGGAAACCCAAGGACTTCACATTGTAAGCTCGCTGTGTCCTGTAGTTCCCTGCTCCCAAGCTGAAACTCACCATCTTTTAACACATTAATATTTCTAGAAGAAAAATATTACTTAAAGCCTTGCGATACTCTTGTTTAATATGCTGTTTGGCATGAGAGGTGGGTAGGATATTAGTACAGTTCTGATAGTTGGGTTGTGTCATGGAGGTGTCACAGTATGGACCGTATCTTCTCTCTCCCCCTTCTTGTCTGGTACCAGTTTTTGTTGTGGTCATGGTGGTGGTACCAGGGATCAAACTTAGGACCTTGCACTTGTGAGGCAGGCGCAGCACCACTGAGCTAAATCCCCAGCCCTCGAGTAGTCTAGTATCAGTTTTGCTCTGTACTTCTTGCTTCTCAAATAGTAGTTACTTTTCTTCATTTTTCCCCCCACTATGTTATTCCTCCTTTGGAGTCGTATAGCAACCAACTTCAATCTCTGAAACCATGAGCAAAAATAAAACTTTTATTGTTAAATTGTGTATGTTAGATGTTTTGTGCCTACACTAAGAACCTAATGAAATTAATAGTATGTGTTTAAGAAAAATAAAATGCCAAATGCATCAACCTTTTCTTTAGAAGAGTATATAAATGAGTTTTCTCTGATTACTTTTCACATTTTCTTCATATAAATATATTTCAGTTTGACTCCAGCAACTCTTTACATATGAAAACCACTTTCCAGGGAGAAGCGCATGGTAACCAGTAAATATCGTGGAAAGGACAAATCCTCGAATACAATTTATATGTTTGTCACCCATTTTCCTTCTCTCTGCAGCTTGTGGCCATCAGCACTCCTTTTAGAGCTGTTCTAAGCAGCTGGAGGCAACCAAGAGGTCTGCAGGTCAAGAGGGTCCAAGGGGATGGTATGGCCCTTCCTCATCAGGTTCAAGATACATTTCAGCTTCAAGTTACTAGATTTAAGACTATTCCCCACTACAGTTTTGTTTTGGGTTTTATGTTTTTGTTTTTTTGGTATCAGGGATCAAACTTGGGACCTTGTGCCTGCGAGGCAGGCAGTGGCACCACCAAGCTAAATCCCCGACCCTTCCCACTACAGTTTATTCATCTGATTTATCAATATTGATGAGTTATATGACATCAATATAACCAACTCATTTTATTATCCTGTCACACACAAGTGCTTTCCAAGCAGGCATTATATTTTACAGTCCTTAGTTAAAGCCCGTTACTGTACCTCTTCAACTACTATTATTGCTCCCTTTCATCGGTTGGAAAAGCTAGCTCAGTCATTGGATATGACAACATTGGATAAGACCCAGGACTCAATCCTTGTACTATACAGTTAATATGTGTACAGTTAATCTTGCAAATTTTTAGGAACACTCTTGTGATTTTCTTCTTATATGCCAATGCCTAAACCAGGCATGATTGCATACACCTTTAATCCTAGTACTTGGGAGGCTGAGGCAGGAGGATCAGTGTAAATTCAAGGCCAGCCTGGGCTACGTAGTGAGTTCAAAGCTAGCCTGAACTGCTTAGTGAAAATCTGTCTCAAAAAACAAACAGTGAAACACACAAAAACAACAAAAAGAAAGATAAAGAAAACTATAAAGCAGACTACTGATAAAGTGTAATTTCCTTCCAATATTTTGGCTGATTTTTAAAATTATATTCATGTGCATGGTTTATTATAACAAAAGGAGGCAGATTAATAGCACTCAAAGAAAGAGGTGCATCAGCAGATCTAGGACAAGCTTCCAGTTTTCTACCAGTGGAGTCAAGAAAATCCTAAATGCTCCGAGCAGCAATGTCTGTGACTGTGCAGAAAACACTGTCCATCAGGAAACTCTCCCCAAGCTTCCTGCCCTTGCTCCCACCTCCCTCCATCTTCATCCCCCTCCCCATTGATCCATGACCTTGCGCTTGCCAGGCAGTCACTGTGCCACTGAGCACATCCCCAGCCCCAATCTATGGTTTTTCTCTTTCCTTTTTTACAGTTTTCTGTTGACTGTGGTGTCGGGGAATGTAACCAGGACCTCATACATGCTGTTCAAGTGCGGCATCACTCAGCCCAATTCATTCTCCACAACCCAATCCCCTTCTGCTTTGAGAATGACCTATCTCCCTATTTCCTATTATCTACAATAGCTTTTATTTTGCTCTTTCTTTTTATTCTGGGTTTCTTATGTTAAAAAAACAACGTGGGGCCGGGTATTTAGATCCGTGGTGCCGTGCCTGCCATGCAAGTGCAAGGTCCTGAGTTCGATCCCCAGTACCGAAAACAAAACAAAAAACAATGTGATGTTTAAGCTTGTGTCTGATTTATTCCATTTGTAAGAGATACAGTCTACAACTCATGATATTTCATAGGATCTCAACATATATTCTACTCAAAGTACTGCAAATTTGCAAGGTTGCTGAGCCTGCTCTATAACCACCCCACAAAGCTGCTGCTGGCGGAGCCTCCACACAGCGTGAGGAGACAAGCACACACCCCAGCGCTCAAACTAAGGACCCAGAGTGCTCAGACCCAGCCTGTGCAGCTCCAGCTTCATCACGCACAGAGGAGCGGTCCAGAGCCAGAGCCTGCTGCACCCTCCAGAGAGCTTCAGGCATCTATTGCTCAGTTTGGGCCCAGAATCCTGCCTGCAGCCTATTCCACTATTTCTGCAGCAGATGCTCCAGTCCTCCTTCCAGGTCTGAAAGAGCACACATCAAGACCAGAAGCCCAGCTCACCAGGGAACAGAGGCCAGGAGGTCGGTGACATCAGAAGAAATATTCACTCAGCACTGAAGGGCTTGGGGAATCGCAGGACTACGCTAACCAGAATCCTTGGCATAATTTCGTCCGAACTACCATACCCAGAATCCTGCAGGAGGCCGCAGGACTACATACCCAGAGTCTTCAGAGTAATTTTCCCATGGCCTATAATACCCAATATCCTCTGTGAGTATACAGGACTACGTACCCAGAGTCCTCCAGGATTTCCTCCGGGACTACCATACCTAGAATCTTGCTTAGTCCGTGGAGCAATTTCCCCATAGATATACTAAACCTACTTCTGTTGTGGTCACAGAACCATGGTACCCACAATCTTTAGCATGATTTCCTTCTGGACTACCATAGAAAGAATCCTCCAACGAGTCTCAGGACTACATACTCAGAATCATCAATTATTCAAGGGACTCCCACGGGCGGCAAGACTATGTACCCAGAATACTCAGAGTAAGTCTTGAACTACGATACTCAGAATCACCACGATTTCCTCCTGGACTACTCTACCCAGAATTCTTTGCAGGCCTGTAGGACTAGTACCCAGAGTTTTCCATAATTTTACCATAGACTACCATAACAAATTATTTTGCAGGCAGGCACAGGACTACGATACCCAGAATCCGTGAGGTAACGCTTCCATGGAATATCATACCCAGAATCCACCGCGCAGACATGGGCCTGAAAAACCCAAAATCTTCGCCATATTTTATCCAACGGTGATATTACTCAGAATCATTGGCATGCCCGCTGCTAAAACGACAATAACTGGAATTTACAGCATCCAACTCTATTGTCTATGGTATCCTGAATTTTGGGCATGTTTCCCCAAGGACTATGGTAGCCTAAAGACTGCCACAATCTTCCCAAAAGCTACAATATGCAGAATTTTAGGCTTGGCAACGGACTGCAATACCCAGAATCCCTCTCGCGTTGCCTGAGGAATGACTACCATACCCAGAATCCTCGGTGTTCTCTTCCAGTAACTGAAACATCCCAAAGCCTCCCTGTGGCAGCCCGGCTCTGATGTCTAGAATCCCAAGATTTGTTCCCATTACCAAAGACTACATTACCCAGAATCTTTGCCATGCCTGCCCGGAAAGACTACTATATCCAGGACTTCAGGACAGCATCTTTAAAGACCCAGCTACCCCGGCCCATCAGTGTATTTCGCAAAGGACTATGCTGTCCAGGATTCTCCGTGTCCCCTCAATCCCCTACACAGTACTGTGATAAATAGACTTCCTCGTGTTCCCCAAAAGCTGTAATGGGCAGAGTCCTCTGTGTTGTACTAGAGCGGAAACCCAGAATCCTCAGCCCAGGACTTGAACACACCAGGTGTGCGCGACCGGTCCTCTCAGATCTGCTAGCGGTCCGAAGTCCAGGCCTTGGCTTCATTTTTAGGAGTTTATCCCTACATTGGGAACATGTGCCATTTCTGTGATACAGGCAGTTTTCCCAGTGTTTCTTTAGACTTTGCTCTTTACCTGTTTTTTCCTGTACAAAACTTAAATTTTAATTTTATGTGTCTAATTTTTGTTTATCTATTTTTTGAGACAGGG